TGTTTCATGTACTATAAACTATAATAAATAATTTGAATAGGAAACACATTTTCCATAATTATTATCTAACTTTGGGGATTTCTAGATTTATAAAATAAGTTAACTTCATGTTAAACATCCTATGGTCTTAAAAACACAAATAATGGTATTAAATATTCATAGTAGAATATAAAATATTTACATAAACTATAATTTTAAGGCATTACCCATGCTCTCTGATATGTTACTATCGCTGATTATAATTAAAAGGTCAGGTCTCTCTAGGGTGAATGGGAAGGATAGGGACAAAGGTAAAAGAGATGAAGGAGAGAGCAAGTAATGTGAGGTAGGGAGTCTCATCCTGTTTTCCATTCTTCTCCGCTAAAAATATTATCCTATATAATAAAAGCCTAATATGCTAAGTGTCCAGTCGTCCGGTCGGCTGTTCAACCAATCAAACTGTAATATGCTAATGATATGCTAAGGCTGCTCAACTGCTCACTATGATGTGCACTGACCAGCAGGGGGCAGATAGTTGACTGGTTGACCAGTTGCTATGATGTGCACTGACCACCAGGGGCAGATGCTCTGACCAGTAGGTTAGCTTGCTGCTGGGGTCCGGCTGATAGGGACTGAGCGAGATGGGCCAGACATGCCCTGGACCCCTCCACATTCCCTCCCTGGCTGGCCAACCTCCCATGTCCCTCCCCAGCCCTGAGCATGCACCAGTGGGGTCCCTCAGCCTGGCCTGTGCCCTCTCACAATCCAGGACCCCTTGCGGGATGTTGGAGAACCAGTTTCGGACCAATCCCGCAGGCCAGGCTGAGGGACCCCACTGGTGCACAAACTCGTGCACTGGGCCTCTAGTAGTTGAATAAAATACCAGTGATCACTTTCTTTTTCTGATTCCTCTTCACACTCCTGAAGATATCAAAAACTATGAATCTTATAATACTGAAATAAATGTGAGTCATATTGCTGTTTCCTTTGCTCAGATTTGAACACTGTGAATATCTAATGACTAACTTCATGTTTATATGGGATTAAGTCCTATTAAACAGCTTAATTAGGAACTGGTAAATATTAAGTATCCTAACTACATTACAATAATGACAACCAATAATATCCCTACATGGCAATGTTGTTATTTCTATATAATTAACCATAGTTAATGTAAACAATATATCAAATTCAAGATTATAAGAAAGGCTTTTTTTTTGCTATATAACTTTCTTTTTCTTAGTCAATACATCATCTTAAGATACAAAGGAAGTATGTTCTAAAATTTAGCAATCTGATTTCTAGGCAGATAGATTTCTTCTCTATGTAGAAACAATATCCTTTCTTTACCCAAGATAGTTTATACAAACATGTAATCAAGTGATTAAAATCATAGGCCTATAAAGTTGAATTCAGCAGTTAACCTTAATTATGATACTATATACATTCACTTTTAAAGACATCCTCCTTTTCATAATAAGAAGAACAATGTAAATAATACTCTGTTGCTTTTGAAATATAGCAATAAAAAAAGAAGAAAAATAAATGGCACAAGAGTACATGCACATGCTCTGATGTAATGTTCAGAAGCTATTTATCAAAAGAGGAAGTTAGAAACACTCTTGAGTTTTGTAGAGTTTATGAGATCTCCAGGGTAAATTATTCACAAAAGACATATTCATTCTGCCGGATATGTCACCATGTCCAATATTATTAGCTTTTTCTTATAAAGACTGAAGAGCTATTAAGGTTGTTCTTCAAAGGATTTTCTGATTTTCTAAACTCCTTATTTAATATGAAGTTACTACATATATAAATATAACTTGGATGAAAAGGGACTTCAATTCTATTGGATATATTTTATTTCTTAAAGCTATAGGTTGATATTCATTGTATTTTTAATATTTTTATGTATGTCTAATTTTTTAATAATACATCTTTTAAAACTAAAATTAAAATAATATTTGAAGCTATATGAGAATAAATAATTACTTATTTTAGTTCCAGAAGGGACATTCACCTTTTAGGTTCCATTTAAGTAGGTAAAATAAGAAATTTTCTCAATTTCAAACACAAAGTTATAATCAACAACAATCAGATGTATACCTCAATTGATATTTACTTTGTACTATAATTATTGAGCAAATGTTTACACAGGATACCTTTTTTTTCCTATTGATATCACCATAAAATTATATAGAAAAAAATGTTTAGCCTAACCAGTTTGGCTCAGTGGATAGAGCGTTGGCTTGCAGACTGAAAGGTCCCAGGTTCAATTCTGGTCAAGGGCATGTGCCTTGGTTGCGGGCACATCCCCAGGAAGAGGTGTGTGGGAAGCAGCTGATCAATGTTTCTCTCTCATCGATGAATCTAGTTCTCTATCCCTCTCCCTTCCTCTCTGTAAAAAATCAGTAAAATATATTTTAAAAAAGTGTTTAAATCATGGTTACAAATTCAAGCGATAATGATAATATCTACTAACATTTATTAAGCAACTAGAGGCCCGGTGCATAAAAATTCGTGCAATGGGGGGGAGGGGGGAGGTATCCCTCAGCACAGCCTGCACCCTCTCACACGTCTGGGAGCCCTCAGGGGAGTCCCACCCGAATGGGTTGGCCCGCTCCCCTTGGGGAGCGGGCCTAAGCTGCAGTCTGGCCTCCCTCTGTGGAGCGACCAGTGGGCCGATCAGGGGACAGCACCCACCGACCCCCCCATCGCCAGCCCCTCCCTCTGTCCGCTTGCACGTGCCTTGGCTGGCCTGGCGCTGCCTGCTTGCTGGCCCTGCGCCCGGCGACCAGTTGTTCCACCTTTCGGTTGATTTGCATATTACGCTTTTATTATATAGGATTATTGTGTGCCAGGTATTACACTAAGTACAACTGATATATTCAATCCTCAAAAAACCTCACAAGGCTGTTTTTATTTTTAGCTTTTTAAATGAGGAAACAAAAGATTGAATACGTTAACCAAATTCTCAAAGCTTCTAAATGAATGCCAAAGTTTAAACACCAGTCTGTCTAATTTCAATATACTTTTGCTACTTTTATATCTGTGAGGCAGATTTTGCTCACATACTTCATGAAAAACAACATATTGCAACATACTGAATACAAAAGCAAATATGAGAATCCAACTATCCTTTATTAAGTCAGATATTAAAGAAGTCTGCAAAAATGTATATATTGCCAAAAAGTTTGAGAGCCACTGCCCAGCACATGGAAAGGTGAAAAACAATCAGCCTATACTTATACTGCAGGAGCCATGACAAATATAAAAGATATAGGCAGAATTTTGCCCAGGTCTAACTTCAAAGCCAGTCCTCTGAATTACTCTGTTTAGGCTGGATGTAAAAATTGACTAGGCAGAATATAAGTTTAAAGAATATGAAGTTATAAAGAATGTCGAGAGTGAAGGTGATGTTTAAGCTTAATGTACTGAGAAAGAGGGAACAACTGAAAAATTCTGAAAAGAGAAGAGATACCAATAGGAGTTTGTAAGAACTATTAGTCTGGTAACACTGTATAGCATAATGTCTTCTGAAATACATTACTTGGTTAGTTGTTCTGAAAAACTTATACTGCTCCACACTAGAGATAAAAAAATCTTATAAAATTATTAAGGATTTTTAAAAATATACTTACGTTTGGGCTCATCTGTTGTAACAGCCAAAATAAAATCATACGGAGTCATGAATAACTGCCCTTCACATTCTATAGAGGCAAACAAACGAAACCGCCTTTCCCGAGATGTAGCATAGAGGTCTAAGTCTTCGATGTCTGTTCTGCCAATTGCTACCTAAAGAAAGTAAAAAATTTCAACTATGTGAAATAACATCTCCTTTTAGACTGTACATGCTTTTAATTGTGCTAAAAGTGAATTAACAGAATAAATGAAAATTTGAAAATATTGTCTTCTGAAGAACTGAATCATTTTATAAATTAAATAGAGGCCCAATGCATGAAAATTTGTGCAAGAGTAGGCCTTCCTTCCCTGGGCTGCTGGCACCGGCTTCCCTCCAGCACCCAGGACCAGGCTTCCCTCCTCCGGCCGCGCGCAGGCAGCCAGGACTGGGCTGGCTTCCCTACTCGGCCGCCTGCGGACCCCTGGGCCTGGGCTGGCTTCCCTTCTCGGGCTGCCCGCAGGCACCCAGGACCCGGGCTGGCTTCCCTGCAGCCCTGGCTTTGTCAGGAAGGACGTCCAGAATGATGTCTGGTTTAATTAGCATATTACCCTTTTATTATTATAGACTGTCCACATGAGTACAATGAATTAATACTTCAAAGATTCTACAATGAATGTTATTAACGGCCTGAAGATTTTAAACTGGAACTTTGAAGGACGTGTAATTTTTTTCTTCAGTCTTAGTCATAAAGAACATTAAATTTCTGAGCTAGTAGTTTCTCTAGAGCAGCGATTTTCAACCTTTTTCATCTCATGGTACACATAAACTAGTAACTAAAATCTGTGGCACACCAAAAAATATATTTTTTGCCAATCTGACAAAAAAAGGTATAATTTTGATTCATTCACACCAGATGGCTATTGTTGAGCTGTCATCATTTTTTCATGTGACAATCTAAGGGAAAAGAGGTCAGATATTACATGTTTTAAAAATTCTTGCAGCACATAGATTGAAAATCACTATTCTAAAGGTAGAATGCCTACTATGCACTCTTTATATAGGCATATTTATTTAATTAGAAACTTATTCATTGTAGTTATTAATTTTCTTTAAAAAGTGAAACCCTGATAGGGTGTTCATGGCTACCACTAAGGACACCATTTAGTGGTAACACCATCTAAAGTTGCTAACTCTAGATCACTATAGTACAGTTACTACCAACAGTCACTCTGAATTCTCTCTAGGGTTAAGATGAACAGAATTAGAAGAAGTGTGTGTAGCAGGAGAAGGAAGTCTCTTCTGTTTTCCTTAATTTGCAGTCTTTACCCTGTATATAAATAATTGTCCACTGTTATTTATTTTCTCTCTGAACTAACTATAACAAATTAATTTTTTAACAGAAGGATTATTTTCCTGATTATAAAAGTGACATAATTATTGTATATAATTTAGAAGACAGAACTTCAGAAATTTATAGATATAAATTTTTTGTTTTCTTTTTTGGCAAAAAAAAGGGATTATACTATACTGTTCAGCAATCTGATCTTCTTAACTTATTACTACACAAGAGGCCTCTAACCAATTTGTGCAAGGGGGCTTGGCCCTGGCAGCTGCGGTGGCTTGCCTCGGCCCTCACAGTCCCGGTTTTGTCTGGAAGGTCGTCTGGAAGGTCATTCGACTGTCTGGTCTAATTACCATATTACACTTCTATTATTATAGTTCAGGGCCATTTTCCCAAGTCACTAAATAGTTCAGTAGGTCATTTTTAATAATTATACACTACTTCATAGTAAATGTTTGTAGTAATAATCTTCCTGGAGCATAGGATTTGCATTCATAGAAAAAGATAGGTAAATTGACAATAATCTCTGAGTTCTAGAGTAAAGCACTGGAATTTAATCTGACAGAAAACAAATGGCTTTAGGGAGATTCTTAAAATAGTGCTTCAGAGAGATAAAGCAACCTGGTACCAGAGGCAAGTAGCTCAGCAGTATATTAATAACAATGCTCAGGTAAGCCATAGGAATTAGGAAATTACTTTTGCTCTGCCAAGGGTGAGAAGTGAGACAATGAACAACTCAGTATCAAGAATGGGCAGTAATCTCCCTGAACACTCCTCAGGGATCAGTCTACTATCCTAAGTCCCCTTTTACACTTATATCCCAGGGCAGGGAACCCAATCTTGTCTGTGACCACAAATTAAATAGAGGCCCAATGCATGCTAGGCCCTTTCCTTAGGCCTCCGTGGCCCCAGACACCTCTTCTCCAGTGAATTTCCTAGAGGACCTCTCCTTGTGAAGCTGTTTTTGCACCAGCATCTGAAGCCATGCCTCAGTCTAACATCCTGAACCACAATTTTTGCCTATATCATCTATGTTTGCTATGACCTAATATGGGCTTGATCTGTGACTTTTTGGTGCTCACAGTGCCTGTTTTCTCACTGAGCTGCCCTTCCTTAGGCTCAGTCTATCATGTGTCCCAGCACGTCAAACCTGCTGGACCACTGCAACTGGTAATGTGATCCCCCTTCTAATGCAGGCAACTCCTCCTCCTCCTTCACTTCTAACAATCAATTAGCAAATCCTGTTGTTCTCCCTCTAATGCAGCGGTTCTCAACCTGTGGGTCATGACCATCGGAAAACACATACAGCATATCAGATATTTACATTACGATTCATAACAGTAGCAAAATTACAGTTATGAAGTAGCAACAAAAATAATTTTATGGTTGGGGGTCACCACAACATGAGGAACTGTATTAAAGGGTCGCGGCATTAGGAAGGTTGAGAACCACTGCTAATGTTTCATAGACAGTCATGTCCACTACCTTTTCAAACACGCTCTTCTTCCCTAAAATTTTACAGTAATGGCCTAGGATGTTTGCCTCTAACCCATCCTATAGTAAGAGAAAGTAAGAGAAAATGGGCAGAACTGTAGAATAATTTTGTATTCTTTAACTACCTGAGAATGAGTATCAGAAGAAATCTACCAAGTAGAGTTAAAGGTTTTCATTAAAATTCTACTGCATGAATTCTACACACTATGGCCTCAGCAAAAGTAACCATCATGTTTGATAACAGCATTAAGTGACCACAAGTCAATTTAGCACCATTTTAATTAAATGTTTCCCAGATTAAAAGGGAAGCATATGATCCTATATAATAAAAGCCTAATATGCTAAGTGTCTGGTCATCCAGTCGTCTGGTCATCCAGTTGTCCGTTCAACCAATCAAAGTGTAATATGCTGATGATATGCTAAGGCTGCTCAACCACTCGCTATGACGTGCACTGACCACCAGGGGGCAGATGCTCAGACTGGTAGGTTAGCTTGCTGCTGGGATCCAGCCGATTGAGACTGAGCAAGATGGGCCTGGAGCCCTCCCGCGGTCCCTCCATGGCTGGGCAATCTCCCACATCTCTCCCCAGCCCCAATCGTGCACCAGTGGGGTTCCTCGGCCGTCCTTCACCCTCTCACAATCCAGGACCCTTCGGGGGATGTCAGAGAGCCGGTTGCTTAAAAGGGCTTTTTGCTACTGCAGACTTCTTGCTTCCGCCAATGCCTATGTTCAATTTAGTGTAATATGTCACATCTATATATCTATCTATATAAAAACCTAACAGACTGTTAGGACCGAACAACTGGAACGACTAGAATGACCGCAACGACCGGTCAACTGGTCTCTATGACATGCGCTGACCACCAGAGGGGCAGACACTCAATGCAGGAGCTGTGCCCTAGTGGTCAGTGCGCTCCCACAGCGGGAGCGCAGCTCAGCTGACAGACCCATCCCAGTGGTCCACCAACCTGGCAGCAGCCACTCACTCCCTCAGTAGTCCTGCATGTCCAATCTCCAGAGAATGGGCCAGGCACTGATGGACCGGTGCCGCTGGCCTCCTGGAAGTTGGCCTTGGGCACCACGACCGCTTCCCCTCCCTAGACACTCCACAAGGAAGAAAGGATATAAAAGTGGCCACCAGGTGGCTCCCGACAACCGGCGTGAATGTCAGCGGGACGGATCCAGATCCTGGGCCTGTAAGGGCATCTCACTGCCCGCTCAGAGGGCCAATAGCGTCCTTGGGACCCCACCCGTGCATGAATTCGTGCACCGGGCCTCTAGTAGTGTAATAACACACATTAGCACTGCTGAAATGAAACAGGGTCTGGTAAAAAGTAAAAATCAATTTTCTCATGAAATCCCATTAAACTTGCCTGATCCTAGATCAGTCTAGTTATCATCTAGTAGGATAATCTGGCTTACCTGGTGGGAGAATGGCATGGGATAAAGAGCATAACAGGAAATCAATACTTGGGTAGGTTTTTATGTTCTCTATTCTCTTCCACCTACTTATTTGCCTCTTCCTACTCAAATGTCATAGTGTTAGTTTTTTAAATATGTTTTTATTGATTTCAGAGAGAGAGGAGGGATAGAAACATCAATGATAAGAGAGAATCACTGATCAGCTGCCTCCTGCACACACCCTACAGGGGATTAAGCCCACCATCCAAGCATGTGCCCTGACTGGGAATCGAATTGTGACCTCCTGGCTCATGAGTCTGATGCTCAACCATTAAGCCACACTGGCTGGGCTATAGTGTTTTAATGACTACAGCTTTTGGTTAAATATTTGACATTAGTAAAGCAAAATGCCATCTTATTGTCAATCCTTTTAAAATATTTATGATGATTGAAATGCATTTTTTCTTCAAAGTACACTTCAAAATCAATGTGTCAAATTTTAAAAAACTTATTGATGTTTTCTGTGAAATGACGCTGAATTTTGTTACAATTTAGGAAGACTTGATTTTTCCAAATTGGGAATGTGGAAGTCCATTTATTCAGGTCTTCAACTATGTCTTTCAGTAAAGTTTTTCAGTTTTCTTCACAAGTTTTAGATATTTGTTGTAGATTTACTCTTATATCTTGTATAGTTTCTGTGTAATTGTGACTTGGGAATGGAAGCTTTTATTACTATTACACTTCAATTGTTCTCCCTCTAACCAATTGAAATGTAACAGGAATAAAAGGTTTCACTGGAAAAAGGTTCCATGGCGAAGCGACTGACTTTGGTATATTTGCTCTGTATCCAACTATCCTGACTAAATTCCTTCAGTAATTTAATAACTTTCTTCTTGGATTTTCTAAGTAGAGAATCATAAGTTCTTTCAAAATAG